CCCCACCACAGTACTATTCTACTAGCCTGTCACATGACACACCGGCCCCTCCTCCCCACCACAGTACTATTCTACTAGCCGGTCACATGACACACCGGCCCCTCCTCCTCCCCATCGCAGTACTATTCTACAAGACCGGTCACATGACACACCGGGCCCTCCTCCTCCCCACCGCAGTACTATTCTACTAGCCCAGGGGTAGGCAACCTTGGCTCTCCAGCTGTGCTGAAACTACAAATACCATCATGCTTCTGGGAGTCATGCCCGTGGCTTGCAATGCCTTATGGGATTTGTAGTTTCAGCACAGCTGGAGAGCCGAGGTTGCCTACCCATGTACTAGCCGGTCACAAGACACACCGGGCCCTCTTCCTCTCCAGTCTGCTGGGTGAGGCGTCTTGATGACATCAGCACCGATCCCTGCGTCAATACACTGCGAGCGCAGGGGGCGGAGCCGCGACACCCTACACCGTCAGTCTTCCTGGTATGGGTGACACTGGGCGTCATTCAGCTCGGAAACGCTGAGGACATCTTGTGGCTGAACAGAGGTACTGCAAGAGGGAAGGTTATTATCACAGCGGAGCGTCTATCGGAGAGCCAGGAGCGGGCGGAGAGACTGCTGGGAGAGACTGCCGGGTGAGACTGCCGTGAGAGACTGCCAGGTGAGACTGCCGGGTGAGAGACTGCCGTGAGAGACTGCCGGGTGAGAGACTGCCGGGTGAGAGACCGCCGGGTGAGACTGCCGTGAGAGACTGCCAGGTGAGACTGCCGGGTGAGAGACTGCCGTGAGAGACTGCCGGGTGAGAGACTGCCGGGTGAGAGACCGCCGGGTGAGACTGCCGTGAGAGACTGCCAGGTGAGACTGCCGGGTGAGAGACTGCCGTGAGAGACTGCCGGGTGAGAGACTGCCGGGTGAGAGACCGCCGGGTGAGACTGCCGTGAGAGACTGCCAGGTGAGACTGCCGGGTGAGAGACTGCCGTGAGAGACTGCCGGGTGAGAGACTGCCGGGTGAGAGACCGCCGGGTGAGACTGCCGTGAGAGACTGCCAGGTGAGACTGCCGGGTGAGAGACTGCCGTGAGAGACTGCCGGGTGAGAGACTGCCGGGTGAGAGACCGCCGGGTGAGACTGCCGTGAGAGACTGCCAGGTGAGACTGCCGGGTGAGAGACTGCCGTGAGAGACTGCCGGGTGAGAGACTGCCGGGTGAGAGACCGCCGGGTGAGACTGCCGTGAGAGACTGCCAGGTGAGACTGCCGGGTGAGAGACTGCCGTGAGAGACTGCCGGGTGAGAGACTGCCGGGTGAGAGACCGCCGGGTGAGACTGCCGTGAGAGACTGCCAGGTGAGACTGCCGGGTGAGAGACTGCCGTGAGAGACTGCCGGGTGAGAGACTGCCGGGTGAGAGACCGCCGGGTGAGACTGCCGTGAGAGACTGCCAGGTGAGACTGCCGGGTGAGAGACTGCCGTGAGAGACTGCCGGGTGAGAGACTGCCGGGTGAGAGACCGCCGGGTGAGACTGCCGTGAGAGACTGCCAGGTGAGACTGCCGGGTGAGAGACTGCCGTGAGAGACTGCCGGGTGAGAGACTGCCGGGTGAGAGACCGCCGGGTGAGACTGCCGTGAGAGACTGCCAGGTGAGACTGCCGGGTGAGAGACTGCCGTGAGAGACTGCCGGGTGAGAGACTGCCGGGTGAGAGACCGCCGGGTGAGACTGCCGTGAGAGACTGCCAGGTGAGACTGCCGGGTGAGAGACTGCCGTGAGAGACTGCCGGGTGAGAGACTGCCGGGTGAGAGACCGCCGGGTGAGACTGCCGTGAGAGACTGCCAGGTGAGACTGCCGGGTGAGAGACTGCCGTGAGAGACTGCCGGGTGAGAGACTGCCGGGTGAGAGACCGCCGGGTGAGACTGCCGTGAGAGACTGCCAGGTGAGACTGCCGGGTGAGAGACTGCCGTGAGAGACTGCCGGGTGAGAGACTGCCGGGTGAGAGACCGCCGGGTGAGACTGCCGTGAGAGACTGCCAGGTGAGACTGCCGGGTGAGAGACTGCCGTGAGAGACTGCCGGGTGAGAGACTGCCGGGTGAGAGACCGCCGGGTGAGACTGCCGTGAGAGACTGCCAGGTGAGACTGCCGGGTGAGAGACTGCCGTGAGAGACTGCCGGGTGAGAGACTGCCGGGTGAGAGACCGCCGGGTGAGACTGCCGTGAGAGACTGCCAGGTGAGACTGCCGGGTGAGAGACTGCCGTGAGAGACTGCCGGGTGAGAGACTGCCGGGTGAGACTTTCCCGGGAGAGACTGCCGGGAGAGACTGCCGGGTGAGACTGCCGGGTGAGACTGCCGTGAGAGAGACTGCCGGGTGACATTTACCAAAAATGTATCTCAAATAATGTTGTTGAATTCATTTAGAAGAAGTTTAGCCTGCAGTTGTCACTTCACACCCACGTCAGTCTGCTCTCTGCAGGGACATGCTGCTGCCTCCGGGGTGCCGGGTGCTCGTCATGGAAGGGGCCGCAAACAACATGGTGGACGAGGCGGCGGTGAGAGCCGCCGGAGAGATCCAGAGCTTGGCGCAGAGGCTGCAAGAGAGCGTGGCCACCGGTATATGTATTCGGGACGCACCGATACCGGTTTTTCTTGGGGTACCCGCCGATACAGAGTACCGATACCGGAAGTCAGGCGGCGTGTAAGACACGGCGCCCGGCTTCCCGATTAGCAGGGAAGCCGCCCCCATGCTTCTCGTCACCAGGTGACGAGGGAGTATGAAGCCGGCTTTCTGGCCAATCAGGAAGCCCGGTTCCTGTATAATGAGACGCCGCCCGGCTTCCCGATTGGCCGGGAAGCCGGCCCCATGCTCCCTCGTCATGAGGCGATGAGGGAGCATGGAGCCGGCCAATCGGGAAGCTGGGCAGCGTATAATGACTCGCTGCCCGGCTTCCTGATACCAGAAGCTCGTGATACCAGTATCGGTGCATCTCTAATATGTATACACTCCAGTGGCATCACGCGGGGGGTGCGGCCGGGGCCCGGGTGACACCAAAATGACTGACATTCATTTTGGTGTCACCCCCCCCCCTCTAAAAAGTCGGGCACTCCGGGTCATGGAGTGTCAGGAGAGGGGAGGGGGCCC